AAGGAGGGGGCTTTGTAGAAAACGAAGCGTTTGAGAGAGGCGGGGCATAGAGGACCTACAATAATGTACAGTAGTTGAAAAATAATGTGTTTTTTGAACATTAAAGCATGTCAACATATTCTGTTACACCAAATACACAAAATAATGATCTTTAAAAAAGCATCATATGACCCCTTTAATAATCATAAGCAATTTCATAATTATTCAAATGCATATAATAGGCTTGTCCTTGCTCTTTGTTGATGATGATGAATCTTGAGAGTGAAGCGCTAATTTAATGCATTTGACTGAATTTTTCCCTGCAGTACAATTTCCAAAGCCTGCATATTCCTTGAGGTCTCTTATGCCAATCAAATTAATTACTTTAGTGCTCCACAGATAAAGCTTTAACACATATATAATAACACACACACGCACACGCACGCACACGCACGCACACGCACACACACACACACACACACACACACAAATAAATAAATAAATAAATAAAGACAAAAATTAAGTTAATCTAATTAACATTAACCTCCTTTTTCTTTTTTCAGCTTTTGGACAACTTTATTTTAATATTGTCTCAAACAGACAACCTACTCTTGCTCAAACATTATGTTCACATGAGTGCTACAGTCTAAGCTCATTCGCAACTGAAGCACAACTGAAAGAGTCCTGTAAGTTCACTGGTGGCTATAGCATGCTCTCAGTCATCCTCTGCATATCTATAATTTGTTCTCAGTCAATATGAGAACTCTTTGAAATGCTAACACATCAGAGAGGTTAAATAAGTGGACCGGCAAATGATGAATGTTTCTTTTTTTAACAGCTCCTATAGGACACTGGGAGGGACATTGATTAAAGTCATTATACCAACGGCACTCTATTGCACTATTGCTCATTATCGTTTTATGTTGTTTATTCCCAGATTACAAAATAAATATTTAAAAAATAAATAAAAACATAGCTCATAATGATCTGAATGATTAACTGAGATCTTTTTTTTCTAGAAGGGTTATGTATTTGGGGGTAAATCAGCCAATTAATATTCACAGAATCTTATAGCTCACCCTTGGACGCAATCTTTCGGAACGCTGTGCTGCCCTGTTTGTTATCTCAGTAAATATCTGTTTCCTACAGTACATTAAGGACACCAAGGGTCTCCACAAGGACAACGATCGATTCAGTGTTATAGAGGAATATACATCCAAATGCAGTCAAGTCATGGTTGTGTTGTGAGTACAAAGCGGTGAACATCTAACAAATGTGCACCTAATAAAATGTGTGTGTGAAATATTTAATGCTCTTAACGGTAAATGGTATGTGCATAATTTCCCTTTTGCATTTTCATTGTTGGGGTTAGAGGCAACATAAAGCATAAGCAGTTGCATAAGCAGTTATTAACTCAATCTAAATATTATGTAAAAACACTAAAATACACAGTACAATGTCCTGGAGTGTGCTCTGCTTATTTGCCCTAGAAGTATGAAAGGACAAACCAAACAACATGCTAAAGTGAGTTCTCAGGAGACACTGTGTTGGCTCCTCAGGACCTGGAAACAATGGCTTACAGAAAGGATTTTGCTTACGGGATGCCTGCCAAGGTCTTTATTTAAATGGGGGGACTGTGTTGAAGCCAAAGAAGCATTACAAATGGAAGCCCTCCATTTAAATTGACAAAGACTGAAGTGTACAATAAGTACATGTCATGTTCACCTTGAGTAGACAATAACACCAAACAATG